CAATGAAGGACAGTTTTCAAATAGGGCAGAGCTGGACAAATCGGTTTGTGGAGTTCGAGGGGTGTTTCTTGTTTGCGATCGTTTTCAGGTAATATGTAAAAGACATGTAACATCTCAGTAAATGGAGCGACCACTCATTTGATTCAACGTAGAGGCTTTCTACCAGGCTAGCGCGAAAAGGCACACGTAGAGAGAAGAATGCCCAAATGATGGATAGCATCAAGCATTAGCAATGTGCTTTGTGTTGCAGAATGATGGACGACCGCACCATAATCTAGATATATTCATGTGAGGCTTTTGTAAAGATTCACCAGACATTTTCTGTCACTTCCTACGTAGTGGGCGACAACACTTTTAAAACGCTTATGGTTCTTAAACACTTGTTTTCGAGATTTTTCGATGTGAGGTGCAAATGTTAATTTCACGTCTAAAATTATACCGAAAAATTTCTGTTCAGGTTTCACTGGTAGCTGCAGAACGTGCAAGTCAATGATCGAATCTGGATGGAGACTTCTCTTTCTTGAGAATAGAATGCATGTGCTCTTTTGTGAGTGAAGGGTGAGCCCTTATCATCAGCCCACTTTGTTACCTTAATCAAGCCAAGTTGGACTTGCTGCTCGCATATTTGCAAGGTTGCACGTCGTTGACATATGTGCAATAAAACATATTGCGTGGAATGTAGAAGTGTAGGCTGTTCATTTTTATAATAAAAAGTGTGCAACTTAGTACAGCACCTTCGTGCACTCCAGTCTCCTGGGCAAATGTTTTAGACAAGACATTGCCCACTTGAACACGAAAAGTGAGATTTGACAAATAACTTTCGATTATCATCAGCATACTACCTTGCACACCTCGGTGTGAGAGGTCTCGCAGTATGCCAAACCGCCATGTGGTGTCATACGCCTTTTCTATATCGAGCAGTATCAAAATAAAAAAATTGTTTATGGACGAAAGAGCGAATGCACTTGTCTTCCCATCACCCTACTAACCCTGTTCCGTACTTTACCCTTATCAGGTTGCGCCTGATAAAAATTTGTGCCAACATTCTCTTCTTGCCTGTCGGCATGTCCTCCTCCCTTGGGACTTTATGTTTTTAAAATTTGTAAAATTCTCCGCTGTAGAAGAGTCACAGAGCAACTTCAATTCTTTATTTTGCTTGTTGCGAGCATTTCTGCACTCGTTCCACCATGGGACACGTGGTTTGCTGGGCAGTCCAGATGTTTGAGGGATGCATTGAGTTGCAATGTCAGTCAAAAAGGCTTTAATACAAAGCACTTTTCTACAGCTTCATTTACGCTTGAACATGATATGATATGTCAGTCCTACTTAAAACACGTTGTCTCATAAAACTGGTCCCAAACAGCTTTTTCCATGAGCCTTTTGGGAACCTGTGGAGGACATTCGTTTATAACGGTGTGCTCAATAAAACAGAAAAGTGGTCACTTCTGAAAAGATTTATTATAATTTCCCATTGGAATAAGGATAAAAATAATGAAGATGCAATGCTAAGGTCTATCGACGAGTAAGCATTGTTAGCGAGGTTGTAACATGTTGGCTCTTTGCTATTCAACAGACAGGCACCTGATGAAAAGAGGAACTGTTCAATGAGACGACCTTGTGCACCACAGCGACAGTCACCCCATTAACTGCTGTGCGCATTCAAGTCCCCCAAACCAGATAAGGTTTTGGTAAATCATCTATTAAAGACTGAAATTCATGTGTATCAAGGCGGTGTGTTGTGGGGGTATGTATAGAGAGCAGATGTTGAGTTTATGACGAGATGATGACGAGCCACTGCCTCTAGGAATGTTAGTAGAAGTACGTGAGTACATGCTACTCCTCGATTAACAATTATGGCTACACTACCAGATGACGGTACAGCATCCTCTCTGTCCTTTCGGAAGATAGCATAGAGACACAAAAAATTCATATTCTTAAATTTTAGGTGTGTTACCTGTACACACAGCACTTTTGAAGAATGTTTCAGCAGAAGTTCTTGCACATCGTCAAAAATTCGAAGTAGTCCTCTGATGTTCCACAGTATAATTTTTGTCTCTTTATGGTAGTAAAGAAGTGTGTACAAAATGAGTGTGGCTACTGTATCAAAAGGAGAAGTGACTTATTTTACAAGGTCATTTGAAGCCCTGTAATTACCTTTTTTTTTTGGCGCAGTCGAGGGGACCTCGCCATTCCTTTGGTGCAGTCTGCACTGGGGCACCAAAAGTGTCCATCGCCTCAGGAGAGGTGCCAGACAGTCCTGTTCTTGGTGTAGACTTCATCGCGACGGATGGAGCCTTCAACTCCACCGGGCCGGAGGTCGGAGAGACCTCTTTAGTTAGTGTGGTGCCCTTGCTGCTGCTAGAGATCACAGGGGCCTTCGGTGGGGCTGTGTTTCAGGATGGCGGCACAGCCGAGGCTGCTCCCCCTATGGGGGCGGTTGGCATTCGCCTCGGCACGTGACGCGTAGTTTAAGGCATTGCCAAAAACAGTAGTGGTGCTGACCCCCCTCGAACCACTTCGGCATATGACGCATTCTCTGCAAAATGCGGGAAAACGAGCTGCCACGCTTTACGGAAGCTATTTGCCTTCTTTGGTCTAGGTGACATGCAATGCTTCCACTGTGATGACTGGGATTTGATTTTTGGGTCGTACCTGTACACCCAAGACTCATCACCAGGGATAATGCTGTTCATGAAGTTAAGGTCACTGCTTTTGAAATCCAGCATGGCCCGGAAGACTTGTGGGGATCTGAGGCGTGCCCGAGACCATTTCGCGGGCATTCAACCGCACGGCCACACCCTTTTGCTCTTTCTGCTCTGGTAACGGCGTGTGGCGATAGATGGGGCCACATGCGGGTGCGGCACGTGTTACATGCGCGCCGAGAAAGCTTTCTCTTTTCCGTGGTCGGCGCCAGCTAAGCATGTGTTTTCCTTCGTCCGTGTCCCCTTTGAGAATAGCCGGACTGTAGCCTGCCTGGGGTGGCCTTTAACACTTCGGCAGGCGTGTTTACTTGAGTGCAGCTTCGGTAGCGTACGCTAAGCCCACAGCGGTGCCTAGTGCTTGAAGTGGTCGTACCACATTGAGCCGCACTTGCCGTAGGCCTACGCGTACGAGGTTTGCCCTAACACTCGCGACCAGGCCCAGTGGCCATCGTGAGAGTGCGCAGCATAGCCGTGAGGGACCTTTTTCCGACCAGCGTGTCAAAGCTCGCCATTGCCAGCTGCGACGTGCTCGCGGTTGCCTCTTATTGTGAACGTCCGCGTGCGGGTGCCTTTGCTCCCCACGTCTCGGGAGCGGACATTGTACTGTTGTTCGGGGTGCCGCCAAAGGCAATAAAGTGTTGTGTGTTTTGTATTAGAACACTGTCTGTTTGCTGCACCGCGCTAAATGCCTGATTAGTTGAGTGCCCGTGGAGCGGTGCGCTACACGCGAGTAGGTGACGGAGTCGCGGCCCTGTGGCTAGCTAAGCGTGAACCCGCGGTGATCATACGCTGAAGTTAGTAGCGGGGTCACCATAGACTTCAACACAAAGTTGCTTTTTCTCCACCGTGAGTAGTTTTGGCAAGAATTTCGCTGCAACTCTCTTCATGGCCAAATCTTCGGTCATAATGCAATGTGCAGAGAAATTGCTATTGCCCACCTCTTCCGCGATTTCCTGGATAGTCACACGACGGTCTCGCATCACCACAGTGTTCACTTCGGCAATGACCTGGCCATTTTCGCATGTTGATGGTGGTCCGGAGCATTGGTCGCTCTCCACTGATGTGCAGTTATTTGAAACCGGTTGTACCACTTTGTATGCGGTTCGTAGCGCCGTCATCGAAAGCAGTCTTGATCTTCCCAATGGTTTCCACTTCACTGTCGGCCGGTTTCTGGCAAAATTTGATGCAGTAACACTGCTCCAGTCTCTTCGTCATTTTTCTTGCAATGAAAAACCGATGAGAGCACCGCGCACTACCTCACTCAAACGCTTAGTCCCAGCAACAGACGCCCTTGGCAGGCAGGAAAAAATTCACGCATGTGCAAGTAGGTTCAAGGTTGGCTGATGCAAGCGCCGTTCTTTCAAATCCATCAGAAGCTCACAAAAAGAATAAGGGCAGATACTTTTCTAATGGACCTCGTATTATGCTGATGCTAGTGTTATCGTATAAAAATTTTGAGGAGCAGTAAAGAACTTGCAGAGAAAATTTTTGATGGAGAGATAATTTAATGTTTATACAATGTGAACATGCTACTTCAAAAATTTTGCAAATAAATGCTGCGATGAGGAAGTTACAGTGCAGTACAACCCGCTTCAACTGTATTTCGTTTCTCACATGGCCTGTGCCCTTTTCTCATCAGCGAACAGGGTACCAACGAGAAAGGCTTCCTCTACGTATTGCTACTGCCAGAGTGAAGAAGGCTAGTGGAAGGAACTGGTGAGAAGGAAAACAAACGTGCCACAGCACTGTGCCCCTCATCTAGCGCTAAAGTCGCAAAATGTTCCTTGATTTTCAAGGCTTTTGTTCTGCCGGTACCGGATGTCTCAGCCTGTACCACTACAGTACAGGAAAATAAAAATATGGATAGCATGACCAAAACTGAGGCATTGCAGGGCCTAGGTGCAATTTTGTAGGTAACAAACCGATGAAGTCAGTGAAATGTAAAGTTGCGTATGGGCAAAACTGTGCTACCTCATGGGCAACGCATGTAGACTGGACAAGCACTAATCATGGCAATTGTATTTCAAAATGAGGCATCCACGTGGAATGCAGGGCTATGGTATCAGCAAAAAGTGACCACTATAGCCCTTTTCGTGAGCTTAATTGGGAGGCATAAAAAAAGTCACTCTGTTCACTAGCCACATTTGAAGCATTGTTTTCAATGCTTCAAACATTTTGAAGCATTATTTTCAAGAGCAGTGTTCAAGAAAATGTGCAACATCCATGAAGCAAAACATTGCAAAACTTCCCTCTCCCAACCTTTCATCTCTGACCAACACGGTCTGCAGCAGCACCTACCATCAGTGCAAGGGGCAGCATAGATGCAGCTCGGCTTGACTTGGTCAGGCACGGCAAGATTTTGAGACGGAGTCGGGTGTCGGCTGGCGTGCGGCTCTGCTCACTAACGGTTGACGAGGCCTGCAACATTGAGGGAGAACAGCATCATTTTAGTAGCCATAGAGCACACATGGGAGACTTCTCTAGCAGGGCGACTCATCACCAGTTACCTTGAACAGACTCTGGGACATAGTCTCGCTAAATTGAGGCCAATAATTTCTTTCAATAGATTCTAGCACCAAACACTAAATATGGCTCAGACTTGAGAACTTAAAAGAACGCACCAGCTTATGATCAAAACTGAGAAAAATATGGCTCACTGGTAATGCTGCCTAGAAAAGACAGTGTTGTGATAGATAGTCATCGCACCAGAAGCCAACAAGGAGCGCCGCTGCCAGCTACTGTCAACACCAGCATAGAGGACGTCACCCTTCCAAGATCTACACCCTCATACTCTATTTACATGCATTACTTTTGCTAGTTTTTTATAATTTTGGATCTTCAAGAAGGGGGCGTGCAAGTTACCCATAGATTTGGTGAACACATACGAAATAATGTATAATAGTCCTAACGTGTGCACTGTTCAAGTAAAGAAAGAAAACAAATTGGAGCATGAACGAAGTGTACTTGTTTATTTAACAGAATAATCAAGCACTTTAAACAATTTGTTCTGGTCACACACAGTCTAGTTGGGATCACTTATCATGAGGACCGACTTGGAATCATTGTCACTGCCCCCGTTACTGCCCTCCCAAAGCACATCGTCCTCAGCTCTGTCGAGCACATACGAATGCCCTATTGAAGTCTTTCTAGACAATGCTAGGAGAAACTGGGTCTCATGACAAGGTGATACCGTAACACCTAAGCATTTGCACATAATTGAAAGGCCTTCTTCAACGGCAGGAAACCTTTTCCTGTACGAATTGCATCAATCATCACACGTCCCACTTCACACTGATATGCTTGGCATTGACACAGTTGCTATTTTTTTTGGTAAACTTTATGCCAATGAGCTTGAATTTTGCCACATACTGAACTATTCTATCTCTTTGCAAGGGAACCGTTTTTAAAAACACTATGGACGAATTGTGAAACCTAAACTTCTGAAATCAATCAATCGTGCATTGCAGCGCAGACACAGAAAACGAGGGGGACAGTAGGCATGACAAACCAACAGGCCCTTGCAAGCCTCCGATGCAGAAAGTTGTCCGTGTTGTTACGCGAGCATGCATTATCATGGTGGTGGAGATGAAGAGTGTGGAGATAGGTTTGCACAAGGCTTACCTACTATGCGCAACCGTGTAGAGATGCGACGTCCTCCACTGCCGCTGTGTGCGAAGACGTTGCGGCCGGGTTCGTCGTTTCCTCCGGCACGGCGCAGAAACCACGCACGAGGCAGGATAACAACAACGGGTTTATTAACCCAAGATGCAGCACAGTGCGACACTCACGGGCTTGCAGGCTGTATAGGGAACTCCGCAAGAGCGAGCAAGTACACTTGCCTAGGGCGCTACGACTCCCGCACAAGGGCCGAAGTCGAACGCACGAACGAGAAGCCGCCTGCTTAGCAGCGCGTAAACCCCTCGTGAAGGCCTGAGAGCATCTGCCGCGACGAGCGGATCGTCGGGCGCAACACAGCTCGTAGGAGAGGAGGATGTCACGTGCGCCCAATGGGAAATGGCGCTGCGTTGTGACGTAGGCCCGTGCAGCGCACCCGCGTAGCTTGCCCGGACATGCCAGCGCATGGATATGAACCCCTGTGCGAACACCTGGCCTTTCCGAAAACCTTCTTTATTGTTACTTTGGCCTCTACCGAGTCCTGCATCGAATTAGCCCCTTGAACTACGAAGTTTCATTGGAAAGACAAGTTAGTTCCTCCAGATGCAGACGTCACACAGAAACTGTTCCCGTGGTTAGAATGAAACCATACTACGACCGGCAGTGAAAATTCTCAACTCTATGCTGAATGCCACTATCAACGACGCCTTTAAGAGATAACACCGTCTCCCTCGCCGGCATATGCACCGAGACGATGTGCTTGGAGGGGGAATAATAACGCATACCATAAAAGTGTTCAAAATAAACTCGCTCTCTTAGCAGACAACGGCCCGCTGTATCCACAACAATCGGCCACGACTACACGCACCTTTAGCGCACGAGATCAGATCATAGAAGACTGAGCCAGAAGAGAGGAAGAAGTGACGAGCTGCCCGAGCAAGCAAGAGAACACTTCTTGCTTTTTCCTTGTGTTCAACAAGTTGACACACAATAAATTGTTTTCTCTGGACTGCCTGAATTGTTTGTTGCAATATAAAGTAGACGCCAGTTAAGATTTGAGCAAACACTGCATTATCTGACAAGAGTTAGATTACCAGACGCAGGTTCCTCAGCCAGATGGCATTTCGCTTCATGGACTTATTGGGCTGCGTACACAGAAGGCAACACAATACAGGTAACTGACACCAGTATCTGGTATTCTGGCTTAAGGGCTACACAGAAAAGTTGGCTAGCAGATGATGGTCGGTGCGTGTACCGTGTCTTGGTTCAAAGAAAACAATGAGGATGAGCATTGTGCTTGCGCTTGATTGGAGATTCAAGTATTAAAAGAAAAGAGCTTACAGTCCCTTCCTAGTCTCCAACGCATTCAGACGTCTCTCTTGCACGGCCTCAGAACCAACATATGAGCAACAGCCAAAATTGATTAAGATATGCAGAGTCTAACTTCCTAGAACTACCATATGATTACTAGAGACGCTATAGTGGAGGGTTCCGCAAATTTCGACCATCTGGGGTTCTTTAATGTGCACCTAAATCTGAGCACACGGGCCTTCAGCACGTTCACCTCAATCGAAAATACAGCAGCTGCAGCCATGATACGATACAACGACATGCAGGTCAGCAGCCGAATACCTTAGCAACTACGCCACAGCGGCGGAGCTCCAAAAGCTAAAATTTGTGGGAATCGAGGCTAGCCCGCCGCCTTTGCGCAAGCTTTGTCGCCAATTTTTGCCGTTCTTATGTCCCGACATGACTCCCCTGCTCCGCGGTCTGCTGCGCTGGGGGAGCAGGGAGTGACGTTTAACCCCTCTCACCCGGTAGCAAATGTCGACTGTGGCGCCGTGCGCAAAGCTTCTCGGGACGTTTCGCGCGCGTGTCGGGACTGAGAGATAACCTCTCCGGGATGACATGAGGTAAGCACGCATTGCTTTACCGTCCGTCAACTCCTTTGTTTGGGGCTCGTTCGAACTTCGCCAACGACGCCTTGTGCCTACGGGGAACGCTTACCTTTTGTCGCCCTTCCTTTCCTACGCTAGGCCAAAGAGTGGTGCAGTGTCTTAACGCGTGGTCATACTACGCTGACTCGTATCTCTCGGAAGTTAACGCGAGCGGAGTTTGCCCTCGCTCGAGCGACCGGGCCCTTTGTCCCGGTGTCCCCGTGAATCACCTTTGGCCACAAGGACGTGCTCACGAAACCCTGTGTAGTACTTCTCGCCCAGGGCGTGGATAAGCCCATTTGCTTTCCCGCCACCCCTGTTGCAACGGGCTATGTGTTGCGTCTTTGGTGTTGCCGCAGGCAATAAAGTGTTGCGACCTTAAGCAGTACCATGTTCTCGCCATGGCAATGGTTAACGCGTGCCCTGCAACTCGCCAAGACCGGACCTACGCTAGTGGCCGTACTCCTTCAGGATACGTGTACACTACAAATTGCACGTTGTCATATTTGGTGCCCCATGGCTCAGGGTGAGCTAAGAAGACATTTATATTTTATATGTTGAGATATCGCTCTTTACGTTTCCTTTGGCTCAACCACTGACTGCAGGACAGCATCAGCTCCGTGATCCCAAAATGGCAATCATCTCGTCTTCCATGAATGTGTCCGAACAGTTGGACGACACCGCCCAGGTGGAAGCCAACAGGTCAGCTCTGTCTGAAGCCAGTGCCCCAAGGACCAAGGTAAATCAGCTACGACATGAACTGAAGGGACTGACTGAAACAAATGCTTCTGAAGGATCACCAGACCGCTAGAGACAACAATCCACCAAAGCCACCTCTTGGCAAGCAGCTGAAGGCAAGTCACAACTTTTTTTGTAACTTACTTGCTCCACTCGTAGAAGGCATTGAGTGCTTGGAGTTAAAAACTCGTGAGAATTCTGGTGCCAAATCAAGCATGAGTGCGAAGGAGAGCAGAGTGCCGATGAATCTTAAATGCGGCTCGATAAATCAACAAAGCGAAGCTAGAGGCAAAAACAAACTATGCATATGTAATAGTGAAGCAATTGACAACCAACTTTCAAGTTTTGAGGCGAACTCCTTATCGCATCTCGGGAAAGATTTAAATCCCTGATAACACCAAGTCGACTAGTGGTTCAGAATTTTCAGCGTTCTTGATGAAGTCACCATACCATTTATTATCTCAAGGCTCCCAGTTATAGACCTTACATGAATATATGTAAGGTCTATAATCAGTTATAGACCTTACATATAATATGGTTACATGATACCTTACTATATGATGGTTACATGACTGCTGCATTATCACATGAGTTGCAATGTAACATTTAAGCAGCCAATGTTTAAACAGGGAATGTTTAGAGCAATGAAACTTGCTGGAAAGTCATGTACAGACTTCGCCTCCCAAAAATTTCACCTATTGAAACAGTGAAATTATCCTGTTTTACAACATGAAAAAGGTCAAGTCATCATGGCTACGCTATCACCCAAGGCAAAAAAGTGCTTCTTTACCAACACATTTAGGCGCCTAGATGATGTGACCCTTTTTTTTTCGCGCTTTGATCAGATTAGGTATTATGATGAAAACGTTGAGACTGTGGTTCTGCACAAACACAGGAGCCCTCTCACAATGACATTCACTAGACACCAAACATGCAAACATTCACTAAACATGCAAAGTGTTCGGCTCGAAAGCCTATGCATCATCCACGCACGGATAGCATAGAGTTGTGCGGTTGCTCAGAAGGCCGAGTAGCAAAAAGCAACCCACCGAGAAAGAGCATACAAAGACAAAACAACTTCATCATGGCATTTGACTCAATCAGTGAGGCCTGTTTGTGAAAGATTGC